GAGTCTCCTTTCCTAACCCCTCACTGAGTCTCCTTTCCTAACTAACCTCGGCTACAGTCATGAAAACAGGGAGCACTTCCTCTCACCTGCGTGACGTCAGCAGATCACCTGACCCTGAGCTACAGGTGTCTCTCACGAGCAGTGTGAAGCTAACGGCTAACGGCTAACAACACGTTAGCTGCACTCACAGATTCAGGAGGTTCCTCCTGCTGCTGAAATATGTCTCCGGGACGAGCTCCAGCTCCTTCAGCACCGAGCCCAACACCGTCAGCAGCACGAAGATCCCGGGGAAGTAGAGTCTGAGAGCCGGTGTCCTCCACAGAGACAGCAGCCTCCCCACCATCGCATCCACCACCGCCGCCATGTTGAACTGTTCAAAAAACTTTATCAGCACACAACAGCTTAACAATCCACCAGCTGTCACAGGCAGGTCACAGCTGCAGTACACACATTATACTGTTCAGTATATTTAAATACTACTACTGTAATACTAAACATTATAATACTAAACATTATAATACTAAACATTCCACCAGCTGTCACAGGCAGGTCACAGCTGCAGTACACACATTATACTATTATATTAAAATGATAATGCTTTTAATACTATTTATAATACAATTATAATATAATCATAATACTTACAACCACATGATTACCTAAAAGTATGATACTTAACATTATAATACTTTGTAAAAGTGTGTAATTAGTATGTACAGGACTAAATAAGTTTGGGTTCTTATTTTGAATATATAATAATAAAGAAATAAAAAGGTAACACACCTTTTCTTCCTTTTTTTATCAGAAAAATTTAGATCTTTTGTTTAAAAAACATTAAAACTTTTTTAAACCTGTAATTGGGCTGCAAGCACTTTCACTTTTTATTTCTGTGAAGTTTTAAATAAATAAAGATTATCATAACTATTTATATTATTGTTATCATTATTATCATTATTATCATTATTATTGTTATCATCATTATTATTGTTATCATCATTATTATTATTATTATAGCAAATTTATATTCAAAAAATGCTAAGAGCGGAAGTTGCTCTGACGTCACAGTAGATCAACCAATGAGGTATCTCGGCTGACACCTGCTGTACAGAGTGGTGTACTGCCATGGGACATTTTTTAAGTAGATACTGAATACAAGTTTTATAGTTCTATAGCCAACATTTTTTCTAAACCTAAATCTAAACCTTAATCTAAATCTAAATCTAAAACTAAATCTAAACAAATCTCTACAAGAAGAACTGTCAAACTGTTTCTGCTTCTCACAGTCATCGTAATGTCGGGTCACAGGACATTCTAACCTGGTCTATACATGTGAAAAGTGAACCTGAGAGTGAATATATTCCTCATTCACTCCATCAGTAAGGAATATGTTTTGATGGATTGAATCGTGATTGTTTTCTTTCATGTGGAATGAATCATAAAGTGTGTTTACGTGCTGGTCTGTGCTCACACAGGAAAGGTTGAGCCCAGCTCTTGCTGAGTCATTACAGTTCTCCTGGAGGATTGATGCTCTCTGACTTGGCAAACAAGCGTCTCCTAGAAATACAGTCTTCCAGGCCTGGCGAGAGTTTGGCTGTTTGTTCTTGAAGCAGCGATGCCAGACTCCGAACTGACGGCCGGGGAACGTATCTAAATTAAAAGGTTATTTCGTTCTGTTCAGATATGTCAACAAAAGAGTTGATTTGAGGGACTTCAGGGTTTCAAACGGTTGTTATACGATGAAGAAAACATTTGATGCAAATAAAAATATTGAAAATGGTTTGTGATTTTCCATCTATTGCTGTTCGACTCCAGATATGTGAACATGCTAAATGCAAACACTGAGGGAACTGTCTGTCAATGTGATAATAAAAAAGAAAGATAAAAAACGACTGTAGATATCTTGGCTGGTTTATCAGAAGCGTTCCTGTGCAGGATGGAAAATGTCACCGTGAATTATTAAAACAAACTCTGACTTTCTTCCTGCACTCAGGAGGAGAAGCCGCTCATTGACTTTGCTGTTTTAGTGTCCGACTGCACGATGACTCTGCAGAGACACGAGTCTGATGGGACGTCTTCAGTTTTCTTCCAGAGACAAAGGTCTGTCTGTTCTTCTTTCTGAAGACTCAGTGAAATATCAGAAAATGTTCTGTATGTGGCCACTCGAGGGCAGAGTAACAACCTTTAAACACAACACTGTCACACTATATGATGTGATATGATCCCAGGCAACGATGAAGGCAGAGTCTGTGAGCTCAGGGTTGGAGGAAGGATTCATCTGTCAAGAGTTTTGAAGAGGAACGTTATTTAAGGGTGAGTGCATCCAGCCTCCTTCTGTTTGAGACCATCCGTCCATCCATCATCCATCATCCATCATCCGTCCATCATCCATCATCCTATTGTAACTCATGGTTAAACGGCTCCTGTATGTATTTGAGTGTTCACATCTTTGTTAAACTACTTGAACTCGATCAATTCCTTCAGGAAGTTTAAGTTTCTTCCAAATAAATTATTGAGAATTTCTGTTCCACCTCCTGTGAACCTTTTATTAATGGACTTCCTGTTTTATTTTGGCTTGTCCCAATGTATTGCAGTTGGCTTTACTTCCTGCTGGCCCTTCCCTCCACTTCTTCAGTTCACCTGTTTTCAGTTACCCAATCAGAGCCATTGTCTTTATCCCCCCTGTGGCTCCACTTCCTGTTTGCTTCCTGTCGTCCATGAACATGTGTATTATGTGATTTTTCAACTTCCCCTGTTTGGTTTGGACGATGCTTCCTGGACTTTTCCTGCATCGTCTCAATGTAAGACGTCGGCCTGCTGTTTCGGAAATTATGTGTTCTGCAGCAGATCACATCATTCATAGTTAGATGAAGCTAGATTATTCCAATTGATCCACTGTTAAACAAAGTTTTAGACAATATTGAAGTGGACGTCCCTGTGAGACGGAGCTGCTGTTACTCAACCCGGCTGACACGAGCTGGAGCTCAGGGACCTCAAACACAGTTGGTGCCATGTTTTATGTTCCTTCTTGAGTAAATGCGAGAGGCTACTGAGTTCTCCTCCTCACCTTTCAGACACGACAAGGTCACAGTGAGCTTTTGTGTGCGAGCGCCCTGCAGCGCCTCAGACCAGACAGATGATGTCATACTGCAGGTGCTGAGGGACGGTCTCTGGGTGAAACCGTCTGGACAGACAATCGTCCTCCAGAACTTGTCTCTGCTCAGACTTCCTGAATGTTTAAGGCCAAATCCTGCAGAAATATCCAGCAGCACCACCTGGACACACGGCCTCAGTGTGGGATGGGAAACCACCATAAATTATAGAAATTCTTCTGACTGTGCATGTTTAAGAAGAAAAACAAACTCAAACTTTCCCCAACAAGAGCATCAAAACATTGATTTTTATTCTCATCACTAACTTTTATTTTATTTGCATTCAGCAGAAAAACTCCACAATCCTTGAAACCAGAAGTCAAACATACAAAGTCGCTCCTCTCCCTGTCAGTCTGTCGGCACACCTCCGTCAGTCTGAGGGATCGGCTTTATATATCGCTGCTCAACATTTCTCCCCTCTTAGATGTGAAGGGATGGAAATATTAACTATGTGACAGAACTGACACACAAGTGGGCTTTGCTAAATTTAAACGCTGGATGTGTAAGTACAAGTCTTTGCTTTGAGCGATGTTCAAACAGCTCATCCAGTCTCTCAGCGCTGCAGAACAGATACAGCTCGACTGCTCACAGATAAATGCTGAGTGAAGAATACATCAGTATATAACTCAACCCAACATGCAACTGCACTTTAATCCACCAGAGGTTTTTATTTGGATTTGCACCAGATTACACACAAACAAATATTAATCCCCTAAATAGTTTTTTTTTTTTACATCAATATCCATGAATTATTTATTTAAAATGTGCGTTTGTGTTAAGATGCTTTTCAAGGGGTAGAAACAAATCTAACATTGAAGCCATTCAGGGAGACCGTTTAAAATGTTAAAGTAAATGTTGAATGGTCTGTATTTATTTTCCCTTTTTCCCCTCAAAGCTCTTTACTTTCTGTTTCTCTGGTGTGGTCCTTCAGGCCAGTGGAAAAGAAAACCGGCCGAGCTTCAAGATCATCGACGAGATGCGACTCTGGGTTTGAACTGAACCTTGAGAGCCGTTGACCTTCCTGATGCCGAAGGCCCCGGCCGCCTCTTTGATGGATCCTTCTGGGTATTTTACACACAAAGTCGCAAACTCTGACAGCACTCTGCTGAGCCTGTGTGGAAGTAAGCTGCGAAGCTTTTGAAGGCTCTGCTTCAGACGACTTACCTGAGCAACCAGGTGACACACACATCCCGTGCTCCTTCAGGCTGACTCTGCTGTTTGTCCCGTATTGAACAGAAACAGTGATTTAGTCCAGACATGCAGATATTTGATTATATCTAGGTTTTCTTTTGACTGACTAATTTAAACTACCTGTGGCATTATTTCATGACCTCCAACTGCATTTACTATTTATTGTTTTTACCTTTTTCAAATAAATAATAAACTGGATAGATTCCACTCCACCAAAGTACGCACTCAGAGATATCAGACCTCCAAATATATCTGAGTTTAATTTAGTTTTTCGCCGAGATCCATGAATTCTGGGAAAACTATGAAAATGCTGAATTTTTAGTTTGATTCATGTCCCATCCACTAACACGGAGGAGGCAGGATTTAGTTGAATTGTTTGAATTTAAGTTTTTAGATAGAAAATAAATGACTACGTGTCCACTCACAGTAGTAATAGATGAGTCCCAACTTATTTTAGGAGAAACTGCAAACGTTTATACCGAGTAAACCAAGGAGGGGAACAACCTCTTTATTTTATTTTTGAGAATAAGTCAGAACTTAATCAGAATAAAATCATAACTAAAATACTTTAAATAATGAATCAGGGCTTTATTCTCATATTATTACGGCATACTTCTCTTTTTCACGTGGCCCTGATAGATTTCTCATCCTTAACTTATTAACTATTCCAGTTTCTCTACTTACTTTATTCTGACGTTCCTCCTGCAGCGGCTTCGGTCTAACAGCTATGTGGCAACATGACAGAGGAGTGATTTGAGTCACTTCCATGTTATTTGCTGCCTGATGCATTCACGGTCATGTCTGACTTTTAATCATAAAGTCATCATAGTTGCTGCAGAACTCCTGGAGGTCGAATCTGGATTAAACAAACACGAACCAGGTTCCTCGGCCCCAAACCGTGAGCCGAAGCTCCCTGTGAGCGCCAGAGTTAAAGAGTTCATTTCATTCTGTGCACATAGAGCCCTTCATCAATTTAGATGTCTCCCAGCCCACGACGTTTCCAATAGTATCGTGCACAAGTCGTTTGGGAGCGCGTGAGGTTTGTTGGGTAAGAACATATAATTTAGTGGCTTTTCAAAAGCTGCCAATAGTTTCATTGCATTTCACTTGATGTTGTATTCTGTGGTTTTAATTCCATGTAGCGGTCGTTCCCCCGGTGTTTGATTCCCGGTCTCACTGATCCCTGTGACCCCCTGTAGCTGCAGAGCCAGGTGGTGCAGTGTATCTTGGCAGCGTCTTCTTATCGTATATTACTCACTGAAGGAGTCTGGGGCTTTTCCTGAGAGCGGCAGCTGCAGATGAGCGCTGACTCTGCAGCCACTCTTCCCTTTGTTTAATATGCATTCTTCACCACATCTTCTCAGGCCGTCCCCGAGGCGTGCTGATTGAAACATTTCATTGTGTTTTATTGAAACGACTCGAGGAGATCAGCCAAAACATGTGCTCTGCTACTACTGAAGATTTCAAACGTTGGATTCAGGGGGTGGACAGCAACTAAGTACATTTACTCTACTCGGAGTACTACACATTTGAGGTACTTGGACGACATTGTCCATCTCAGACAGAAATGTTGTACTTTTTACTTCACCACATTTATCTGACGGCTTCAGCTGCTTTTTCAGACGACTTTAAAAAAAACGATAAATTTAAGAGTTTTAACAAAGTGCTCAAAAACAAAACTATTGTCAGAAAATATTCAATGATGTGGTTTTGGTTAAAAGCTTTAGAGCCAAAAGTAAATTATGGCCCCTGACATAGAAAAATCCTAATTCCACCACTGGTATGACGTAACACAGCTGTAAATATATTCATGTATTTTCACAGAAGTTTTACTAAATTAAAATGTACATCTGTGTTCAACTACTTCATAATGCCTCGTAAAAAAAGAAGGTGGCCAGTAAAATATTTCATGATTGCATCGTCTGTTATGAAAGGCAATTTCCTGTGTTTGTGATTTTCTCTGCAGTGGAGGGAAAGAAAGAAAGAAAGAAAGAAAGAAGGAGACAGACGGTCAGTTCGGGGAGAAAGAAGAACACAGGCGGGTCTTTTTGCGTCAGAAAGTTTCTCGGCCCAGTTAAAACTCGCTGCCACACATGAGACGGCAGCTTGTTTGCAGAGGCTCGAGTTGAAGCTGGAGAGCGACGGTGCTTCTTCTCTGTGGCTCGTCCGGCTCTGACCTGTGAGAGGAGCCGCTGATGAAGGTAAAACTCTCTTCATCTTCTTCTGCCGAACAAAGGACGAGAGCAGAGGCTGGTTTGAAGCTTCTGATTCATTCACTTCACGTGTTAAGATCATATTTATAACTTTGTTTTCAGCGCTCGGTCGAAACCCTCGTGTTTGTAATGTTGTGTTCTCTTAGAAAACTGTGTTCATCCTACCTGGTTTATCTGCAGGGAGAGTTTAAAGTTTTCTTGTTTTCTTTTACTATTCACATATGTGGTTTATATATAAGTTTGAATGAGTTATTTCGGTTGTTTCAGAGTCTGTTAAGCATCAATCTTCAGACTTTTCTCCGACCCCTGATTGTCTGATATTGTGCTTTAAACACTTGAACACTGCAAAGTGAAGACATCAAGTTATTTAACCAAACATATTTTCAACTTTCACAGCTGGTTCTTTGAAAAACTGTTGTATTTAGATGGAATTGAAACTTTTAGGGACGTGTAAGTTTGAGTTTTATTGTGAGAAACCTCAAATGGCACAGCTGATGCTAAATTTGGAGATTCCACTTTCACATATCGAGACTCTCTAACTTTAAAATATTTTTTAAGACATAAAATCTTAACTGTAACACCTGTTTTGTTTTTTAGCACAGTCTTGCAGGGACACACTCTCTCCTCCTCCTCCTCCTCCTGCTCCTCCACAGGCCTCAGATGGCGTCTGTTTGCCTTCAGCTCCTGCTCGCTGCCACCCTGTGGTCGACTCCCCACGTGGGAGCTGCTGCCGCTGTGCTGTCGAGCTCCACGGAGCTGCTCAACGCCACCAGAGCTGCAGCTGAGACACAGTCGGACTCCAGGACGCTCACTGCAGCCGCTGGCGTTTCTTCTCGCAACAGACGGAAGAGAGCCATCTCCTCCAGAGAGATCAGCGCCCTGCTGGATTACCACAACCGGGTCCGCTCTCAGGTTTTCCCCCCTGCTGCCAATATGGAGTACATGGTGAGGAGAATCGGACCTGAGACCCGGCGAAGTGGTTTATTGTCTTCAAATACAGAAGAACAGAACAAACAAGATAACAAATAAAAGAGGAAATTAAAAAAGGAGAAATGAGAGAGATTTCGGAGAAAGTTAATAAAACCAGTAACCTATTCAAATGTAATGTATCTATGAGGTTAAAGTAACATAAGTACATTTCTATCTGCGTATATATATTTAATCATACTCTCTGACATCAATCCTTATTTGGTCTATCAACTATTTTATGACAATTTCTGTTCTGGACGAAAAAAAGATGTAAGAAACAAACCTTTTTGCTTCAGACGTATATTTTAGACAAAAAGCTGAATCATGTTGTTTTTCCTCACCTGACAAAATAAAACCGAAACCTCTCTCACTTCCTCCACAGCTGTGGGACGACGGACTGGCTCAGTCGGCCGACTCCTGGGCCTCGCTCTGCATCTGGGATCACGGTCCAACGCCAGCTATGAAATACATGGGCCAGAACCTGTCCATCACTTCAGGAAGGTACAGATCTGTAGACGAGTGCGACCCCGAATGATGAGGTGATGGGTTCTGACACTTTCTGTTTTCTGCTGATGCGGACGAATGACTGGATGTGTTTTGGATGTGACAGGTTCCAGTCGATCACCGACCTCGTCAGGTCCTGGTACAATGAGAGGCATCATTTCTCCTTCCCCAACAGATGCACTGGATCTGTGTGCTCGCACTACACTCAGGTACATTCAGAGGATTCTATGTCTTCAGGTTTTGCTGCAGTATGAACGTTCTATAGAACCATCAGATCTGCTGGGAGAGGCCTTTTAGTTCGACCTGAAGTCAGAACTTTCATCACTACGGCCAACGTCTCGGGAACAGCAGAGAATGTCGAACCCAACACCTTCCTTTTTATTCTGCCTTTAAATTGAATTTTATTTATTTAGATTTTAAGGTCCAGTGTGTGAGATTCAGGTGAAAGGGAACTCGTGGCAGAAATTTAATGTAGAATAATCCTCGTGATGTTTTCACTAGTTCGTTTAATCTAAATTGTATGAATTGTAGTTTTCTTTACCCCAGAAAAGACCCTTTATATTTAAATACTTTATATTCAAATACTTTATATTTACATGGAGGGGACCCTCTCCACGGAGGCCGCCATGTTTTTTACATCAGTCCAGACTGAACAAACTTAAACCTTTTGAGTTTTTATAACGACTGAAGTTGCCACAGGTTCTTTAACATGTTTGGAAGGAGAGGGGGAGGGGAGGGGTGTTCAGCTGCAACATGACACTTCAACACTAGATGTCACTAAATTCTACACACTGTACCTTTAAGCCACTTTCAGTATTTGGTGTATCTTTTTATTTAGAAATCACTTTATTATCATTTTCAAATTCTTTTTTTAAAACACGTTTATACACATTTAATCTTTTTTTGTATATTTTTGTTCACAATGTGAAAGAAGAATGGATTTGCACCAAAAATTTGATGGGTTCTTCTGTGACTCATCGTTTCGCTGAGTTTCATGGAAAATGTGTGTCTTGTGTTCAGATGTGGTCAGATTTGAGTTTGTGAGCATCACACAGTGTTTTGTGGCCCCGGTCAGATGGTGTGGGCGAGCACCAGCAGGCTGGGATGTGCGGTCAGGAAATGCTCCAACATGCACGTGTTCGGGAGCAGCTGGAGGGAGGCGACGCTGCTGGTCTGCAACTACTCTATAAAGTATGTTCTTTATATTTATCCATATTCTACGGTTCTGTCTCACACTAAAAACATATAGACGGCAGGAGTGAGGTGATTCTGTTGTTGTGAAGATTTATTTCACAGAATAATCCCCTAAATAGAAATATACTGCAGATAGTAATTCAACTTGTACAGTACTTTAGTATAATTATGAGGTGCTTGTATTTGTATACACCCCAGAGTCCCGACCACTCGTTTGCATCATGGTGTCGGGCCTCGAGTTAGTTTCCCAGATAAATCACATCAGCACAAAAACAGGACAAAACACACAAGTGTTTTTTTTAACCTTTATTTATCATTTAAAAAGAAAAACGAGTCTGTGTGTCTCTGCTCAGCTCCTTTCACATCATGCGTTCCGTGCCCAGGGTGTGAATCAGATGTTCTCGTACCTTCTTAAATGCGAAGCCAACACTGAGCTCATGTGTTTCAGAGGAAACTGGGTGGGAGAAGCTCCCTATAAGACCGGCAGGCCTTGCTCTGTCTGTCCGTCCAGTTACGGCGGCTCCTGCTGGAGAAACCAGTGCTCGTCGAACACCAAAACCAGAAGACTGTCGAGATATTAACGCCACACATCGTTTAAATGGAGGAAGAAGAAGTAATTTATCACGAGGAGATCTTAAACTAACAAAAGAAAGAAAGAAAGAAAAGAAAACACTGCAGCTGTCAAAGTGCCACTATGTTCAGTAAATCTTTTTCCACGAGTTGTTGGCGTGTCGCACTATGAACGTTAAGATTTTCATTTGTGTTGATGATAATAACATTGAACACGAGAGAAATAGTTTCCTGGTATTCGATGAAAATGTCGTTGTTTTGCACTGTTTTTAATGAAGTTTGTTGTTTGAGTAACTTTTCCGAGGCGTTGACCAGATACGAAGCACTTTCACTGTACAGATTAAACTGACCGTGACCTGATTAATAAAATCATTTTACTGTTCAGTGTTTAATTTGTCTGTTTGCACGACTGAACATTAATTTAAATTATTAACAAACTGGCCCGACGCTTAATTTCCCCATAAATAATCTGCTGCTCGCTGCTTGTGTTTATTCTCTGCTGCTGCGGCAGGAAATGTTCTGTGCTGCATCACACCTCATTACATCTCACCACGCACCCCGGGGAGGCTTCTTCTGCCATAAAGCTGCAGACTAATGCAAAGTTTATGGTTTAGAATATGAGGACACACACACACACACACACACACACACACACACACACACACACACTACGGTCACCACAGCAAACATTTTTGCTCGACAAACAAAATTAGTCAGAAACAAGAGGAGCGGCCTGTGGTTCAGCATTTACGTGACTTCAGTTTATCTTGGCAGCTTGTGACTCTGCCCGCCGGCACAGCAGGAGGCACTGTTAATGTGATGTTTGTGATGCAAGTGTGCTGTATCCTGATATTTCTAATTGTTCTTCTAGACTCAACTCAACTAATCCCAGACTGAAGACACTTGTGATTAAATTAGATAAATTGCCTGGATTGTGCAGATTCATTAAGAAACATCAACTAGAATGTCAGAGAGCAGAACAGTCTCCTCATGAAATCACACTCAAAGTCACAAAATCCAGATTTTTCATCAAATTGCACAAAAACGTCCGAGCTCCCAACGTGAAGGATTCTTTCCCGACACAAACCGAATCCTTATTATTACGTTTCATGTGAATCCGTCCTGTAGTTTTTTGTGTAAACCTGCTTCCACACAGACAAACAAAAACACAGACGACAACATAAACCTCCCTGATGGAGAGAATACATCTCTCTGCGTTATCACAGATGAATCAGCATATAAAGTATTTCAAATAACAAATGCTTTATGTTTTTACTTGGATCACGTCTCACGCATCCACAGCATTTCCTGGAAATTGTTCCAGTGCTTTTTGCGGCTGAATAGAAACCAACAGAACCGTGGAGGTAATAATGGTCGTGTGTAAGTTTCCCTGCAGCTTCTGTGTTTCAGTCTGGATTCAGTGGACGGTGCACACGTGTCTCCCTCAGTGAAATCAGGTAAATGGTTTGAATTGGACTTCACCTGGTGTCTGGGCTCTTTTCTCCTCGCTCCAAACTAATGACGTCAATCATCACACGCCGTTTGTTCGCTGCCACCCTCGGTACATTCTCCACTCCTCTGTCTTTTATGTCGCTCCCCCACCCTCCTGCCTTTCTCTCTCTCTCTCTCTCTCTCCCTTTTTCTATAAACTCTTGCGTCTTATTCACTCCTCACCCGTCCATATCTGGAGAAACGACCGTTTGGTGATGAGAAAGAGGGAAAAGCACATAATCACTCTATGTCTATTTGCGTTTCTATCATCATGTTGCCATGGTTACAGCTGCTATATAGATTGGTGTCCATACGAGCCTGGTTACTGTTTAACCTCCCCACCCACATTTGCCCAGATTAGGAAAATCAATAAGATAACAGCAGCAACACCGGCCTTACCTTGCACCAACACCCTTCTCACACCACAGCACCCTGCGCCAAACTTCCACATTTTACACCTTGTGTTGCGGGCGGAGAAAGTGGATTTACAACATATGGGTGAGAGGAGGCAGAGGACGACATGGTCAATGTAAACACGCACGTCAGTTCAAGTATGGAACTTCCATTTGGTGAGTACGCTTTGTTTTTATCAACTTGGCTCTGTGGTTTCGGCCGGGGGGAAGAGAAGAGCGAGCGAGGGAGGCAGCTGCTTGGGTTTTCCTGTTTTCTTTCTGGCTGGTTTGTGCAGCAGCCGTTCGTCTCTCCGGAGCTCTGCTGCCGGGTGACGTCTGATTCCCAGCGGAACTATCATCGCCATTTGTGTCTGGCTTTTTCTCACGGCTGTAATCCAGGAGGTGTGTCAGGGACGTGGAGTTGTTCAGCGAGGCCATGGGAGCCGGGCCTGATGGTGATGGTGGCAGTGAGATGTCAGAGCAGGTCTGGAGTCGTTCTAGAAGTCGGATGAGTTCAGGTTTTATTCTGGATCTGAGGAGCGACATTAACCGTGAAAACGTTAAAAGCAATGATGACACTTTTGAAGCTCAGTATTTTGCACACAAGAACAAACACAGTCGATTTCTTTAAGATGACAGAGATCTGCATCGCTCGCTGCTGCAGGATAAAGACGTTCATCGTGTCACGTCTGCTTCCGACAAGCTAAGGCCTCACTGTTACACCTCTCACACAGAGAGCTGGGTTTTCTTGTTTTTACTCACTGAAGGATTTGCATGTCACGATGGGATGTGGAGATGCAAATTCATTTTCACAAACCACATGAGAAAAAAAAAAAAAGAAAAAGATTAAATAAGAGGGAGCATGTGTCTGAACAGCTGCTGCGGCAAGATCCACGTTCAACCTGTTCCTGGACTCACTCACATCTTTTACTCTGTTCTTGTTTCTTCTTGTTTCTTCTCATTCTGCTCCGATGGTTCATTTAAAAAAGCAGCACAGCAAAACTCATCTGTGTGACTTTGACTGTGTCGACTGCAGAGTGCTTTCGTTTTCCCCTCGGACACTTTGACACCATTCCACTACGATCTCTGTCAAACAACAACAACGACGATGGCGGCTTTATGTTTAACCACCAAAGGAGAATGACCTCATAGTGTTCTTCTCTGGTCGTTGACACATTCTTGTCTCACGTCTTGCTCGTTTCAGCGCTCAGGGTCGGTTTTGTGTTTTCGTCAGGACAAAAATATTTAGTTAGACGAAAGTCGTGTGGACGGAGATTTCTGGAATAAAATGGAGGCGAAATATCCAAATTAAGATGAAGAAATTACAAAGAAATAATCTGTTTGATTGGTTTTACCCCATAGAGGCCAATAAGAGCCGACAGAAAGCTCAAATGTTAAGTTGCAGCAGCTCGTTGTTCCTCCTCTGCTTCAGCTCGAACAAGAAGAACATCGACATTGTTCATCAGAAAAAGATTCGGCCATGATAGTTTCTCTCAGTAGAATCCATGCTCTCCTCCTGGTCTCCTCATGAGACGTCTCACACCTCTCACAACTATTGTGTGTGTATTCCTTCTTCAGTTCTTTTCTATTTTAAGTTTATTGTGACTCAGTCTGCTGCTGGAAATACTGAAACACCAGACGTGTATTCATCCACAGCTGAAAATAGTCCCCAACTGTTAACATTTGCCAAAACCCCCAATGAGCAGATGTGTAGAATAAGTTACTGAGCAGTCGATGAACATGAAAACTTATCTTTGTGAGACTTTTTGAATGTTTTGCATCTCTGGAACTAATTGTCCTCGGTGTCGCTGCCACAGAGACGTCGCAGTGTGAGAGGACGACTGATGGACGTCCTGGTATATTCATGGGCTTTAATGACCATAAATTGGTGCAGAGCTGACGACGGCGTCAGGTGATGTAAACTAAACGATCACGTGATCTCTGCGGCTGAGGTAATACGTCACTTCCTGTCTCTTGTCTGCTGAACCCGGCTGCTCCTCCTCCTCGCCTGAATAATAAGGAGGATTTCAGGAGAAACCAGTTCTCCAGATTTTACCCAGATGTCTAAAAAACGTCTTTTCACAGAACATCTCCTCCACACTGTTTATATTATCTTTGATTCTATTCATTATAAACAGAATAAAGTTTGATTATGTAAAAAGCCTCCACGAGTCCAGGAAGGCGTGATCAGTACAACAGCAACATTTTCTGAGAGGATTTGTTTTTTTACAGTATACGCTTCACAAACCGGGACATTAATGTCACAAATACATTCTTTGGCAGCGGCCGGCTCTAAGCTTCTCTTTGGCCTCTATCGGGTTATACTATGCTTCTTTGTCCAAACAAACTGCAAATCACCGAGGTTTAAAGTCGAGCCGACAGAATTTCAGAGTTTAACGACTCTCTGTGTCGTGTTCACGGAAGGACGGAAGATTTCTTGTGGTGTTGCTGAGCAGATCGCAGCTTCCCTCTCAATGTCAGCACGGTTACAAAAGATCAGTTTTTTAAAAAGTATATCTGGATCCTGAAACTCTGCAGACAAGCTCCTCTCCCTGCTCGTACACAATACACACAACCGTGTGGGAGACACATGGGATTAATTGCTCAACGGTCACTGCCTGGACAAACCGAGCCGCTGGGTGAATGTCAACATGACAACAGCCGTTCAACAGCTCCACGGCAGATATGTGTTTGCCTTCCAAGCTGAATGACTTGAGGCCTGGTCCCTGTACACACACACACACACACACACACACACACACAGTTTACAGCTCACTGACAAACAGCTTCATCTCATCAAAAAGCCACGTAACAGCAAGAAGTTTCAAGTATTTAAGATAAATCGTGTCACGTTTTTACAGAATGAGGGTAAAAATAAAACTTGTCTTCTTCTTCTGGACTTAATTAGAAGCATCTCATGACGATTGTACCCCGGCCAGGCAATGCTGACTGTTTTAGTTTGTCATCATTTATTTTTTCTAATGAGATCGTGATGTGATTTATCGTCATTAACGATTGGTTGATCTGAATTCTGACGTCAAGGTCACGTCACGGTGATGATGCCATTCCTGTCCCATGATCATGAAGTTTTTTCTGATCCGTGAAGCTTCGGACCACGTCAGGACGATACTTTTTATTTTACTGTGTTTTTTTTAACAATGCTTGACGTCGTTTCCTGGCTTCATTATGACGAGATGGGGAAAGATTTTATAAGCTTCAGATTGTCTTTCTGTAAATTGTGGAGTTGTTTAGTAAAAAGCAGATCAGCTCCGAAAGTAAATAAGATAATATGAGACGTCTCTTATTTGTCCCACAATGAGGACATTTGCAATCAAATGGAGATAAAGTCCAGAGTAATAATAGTAGTAATAGTAGTATTAGTTGTATTATGGTTTCATGACTCAATATAAACTAACACATAGCACAATAAACAATATAAAACGATGTCGTGTCTGTGGGAGGATGCTCTTGTGTTTCCTGCTTCAGCCTGTTGATGACCCACTTGTCACAATCAAATCTGATCTGACAGCAACACAGATATTGATCTGTGAGCGAATCTGATCAGGAATATAAAGTCGTGTGTTGTAGAAAACACAGACAGCGAAGTAACCACTCAAGCTAATGAGGTGACATTTGATCTGCGCTGGAATAAAACATGATATTCCGTCAAAGTGGCTCCGTGGTGCCTCACACAGGCACAGAGGCCAGTCCGCTGCCCGCCCGTGTGGAGGATAGGTATTACACACGGTTCACTTGACACTATTAATCCCAGTGTTCAGGCCTCCAATCAAATCTCATTGTGACAGGCATTAGTGGATTATCCCTGCACAATGTGGGCCCTTACCGCCGGCCCAGTGGCCCCGGCAAACCGCACCGTCCGCTAACAGTGGCCCTGCTTCTCCTCTCAGCCTGGCCGGGCCTGAGAGAGCCGCCGAGGCTCATGGGCCTTCCTCGCTCAGCTGGCCGGCTCACTGTCAGGGCTCGGCCTTCGCAGGGATGTACGGCCAGGATGGGACGCTGCACTTCACGCACGCAGGTAAAGAAAAAACCGAGGACTCTGAGAAGTACGAGTGTGATTATTCCAGAGTGGAGGGTGAACGACAAGCTGCGGCTCAGACCACAGAGGAAAGTAAAGCTGCCGGAGGCTGAGAGGAAACGCAGACTCGATGTTGTTACAATAGAGATTTAAAAAAAAAAAAAGCGTGTTTCTGATTCACTGCTGCTTTAATTCTTCAACAGAACGTGTGTTTGAACGTTCGCTTCATCGACGAGAAACATTTAGGAAATCAACAACAAACTTTTAAAACAAAAACCCGACGACTGGAACGATTGAATTTGATGTGACGACTCGTTTAGACTCTGAATAATTCAGAGATTTGTCTGTGGATGAAACATCGTCTGTGGTTTGAGCCTGAGCAGCTGATCGGGGAATTGATCATGAGCTTGTGCTGCGGGATGTGTCCACATGATGGTGGTAGTTAGCAGGGATTTCAGATACCTGGGACGGTAACGCAGTACATGCTGCATACTGACATACCAGGATCAAGTACAAATACTACATATACTAATGTGTGGAACTTAAGAACTGTAATTTATACTTCACTTTTTACTCAAACTACTAAAACACTACTGAGCTTCCACAAGCCTCAAAAATATGATGCAAACTTATACATATATATAATATACATGATAAATAATAGGTTGTATATAATGATTCATTCTACATAATTAGTACTTTTATGCAGAAGCCAACAAATACTCTGTGTACAGACAATGTTTAAATATCACTTTTTCGAGCCGGCCGCAGATACAATGATATAATGACGCTTTCAGAATCCAGCGTCACATGTTTGTGCAGAAATGTCTCCACCTTTCTGTCTGCTGAGAAACGTCATCCAGGAATTCAAGTTTAGATTAATTTACCCCCAAAAAACTTGATCATATCAAAAGCTTCTTGTTTTCATGGAACAGAAGTCTGTCTGTGTTTTTTTTTTTATCCCTGAGGACTTGTCAGATTATTGTATTTCTATAACTGGGTGCTGTGTTATTTGTTTTATACTGATATGGAGCAACGAGTCTGAAATAAAGCTCACTAACTTACTTTTTACTGAACAACTTGTTCAGTGGTAAGAAGAACATTCACTCCATCGCTGCATTCAACCAGATTTTTGAATTAT